AAATAAAATTCGGTTTCAGGGAGACTGAAGAGGTCTCAAAGCACATCATTTGGGACAAATTTGGCCAGGATTGGGAGATGCAGGTCACATTCCAGGGCTTCCTCTCTTCTTGGAGATTTTTCCTACTTAAAGCCTCCTCCAATTTAGTTATCACATCTCCGGCAATCCTAAGCCTTAATCAGGGACCCCAAACTGTGATTCGTTTTTCACACTCCTGGAAAGGGATTTATGGTTTGTGATTCACCTTTTCTAATACGAGGGATGGCCTATTTCTTCTTTCGTGGATTTCTGCTATAATTAATGTTTTTCTTGCTTTTTGTCAGCTATAGCCCCAACACCTAGCATGTGATAGAGGCTCAGTACGTATTTGGCAAAAGAATGAAAGTTGGGTTCTGGCTTTTAATTAGGAGTGAGCATGCAAGGTGAGACTGGAGAGATGACACAATGCTACACCTGATCTGGCTTGTTCAAACATCCAAGGCAGGCTGCTGTTAAACCACTATATAAATAAACAGTGGCCAACAGAAGCATGGCCTGGGAGAGGAGGTTTCCAGTGAATAGTCCTTTCAGTAGCAAATCCTAGGAACAATGGTGCTAAACTGGGATGTCATGCCAGAAGCCTTTATACTTCAGAGCTGTGGGAACAGAAGCCAGGAGTATAACAAAGGCAAGCTTTGTCCTTTTCAACCTAGCAAAAGCCTTCCCAGTGAAGTCATTTCCCATTCCCTTTCCAGCCACCCTCCTTGTCCCATCTTGAGAAATTATTGTTCCACGAAATAATGTTAATTTTACTATCTTTAACACTGTTTAGCTCCAATTACAAGAGTCTCTCCCTCTCTTCTTGTTTTTACCGTTGGCTCCAGGTACAGTTAAGGAGGCAGAGATTGTGGCTGTTTCTCAGAATGTGAGAATCAGGAGCTGCTGCTTGGGGTAGCCCATTCCATTCTTTCTGGAAAAGGGCTTGCTGTAGGCAGAGAGGAGGTCCCTGCTCTCTGCTAGAGTTTGCTCTCTCCCTGGCTGTGGATGTGGACTCTGACCCTTAAAACCCTACTCTCAACCCACATGTTCCAAGGGACCTATAGTTGAAGACTTGGCTGGACATGTGGACACACTATTACCACTTGGGACTGTTTAGGAAAAAGGGGGAAATGTTAGCCAGAGCCTCACTCCAGCACTGAGGTCCTCTTTGCTTCTCTTTGGAAGAAACTTGGGCATTTTTTCCATATTGGAACAGTAAAGAGATCCAATTTACCCAGGGTTCATTGCTTTGTGTGCTGGAGCTTATTAGAAGCATTCATTCACCCATCAAGCAGTTTTGGGACACCTGCTTTAAGCCCCGTGCTAGGTGCTGGAGATACCCAGGTAAATAGACGAATTCTTCTCCTTGGAGAATGTCTTGCTCTAATAAGTAGCACTGGAGCTCTCTGGTTGACAAAGCTCTTATCTTACTTGAACTTCAACATACCTGCTCTTGGAGAAAAAGGAAATTCTGAGCAGTCAAAGGCTTTATCCAAGGTCATATGGCTATGAAGTGGCAGAGCTGAAATTCAAATTCAGGGTTTCTAACTCCAAATTGTTTTCTTTCAATTCTGTTACACTGCCTCCTGCGATGATTGTGGAGGATTGCTTATAGGGAAAGGAGTAAGCACTTGGACTAAGAGATGCTGCTGTCACTGTTGTGACTGAGTTTGTCCTAACTGAGATTTTTGACTCTGAGTTTCATGTTCTTTTCACTGTTCATAAATAAATTAATTAAACAAACATTGGATTGGGAACTGCTGTGGGTTAGGCCTAGAGCTGAGGATACAGCCATGAGTAAGACAGGAAAGGCCCCTGCCCTCCCAGCTTCTATTCTAGTGTGGGAGACAGGCATGAACAGGTGAATGGAGAACTGGATAAGGAAACTGGGAATGGTGGTGAGTGTCTGGGAGGAAATAACGATGAGAGATTCACTGGATGTGGTCCCTTTAGATCAGGTGGTCCAGGAAGGCCCGGCTGAGGATGTGGCGTGTGAGCTGAGACCTGCAGAAGGAGAATGAGTCAGCTGTGTGTAGAGTCGCCACAGAAAGAACATACCACGGGGATGAAGTCACGAGTGCAAAATCCCTGAGGTGGGCATGGGCTTGGTGTCCGAGGGATCATGAGGTCAGTGTGGCTGGAGGTAATGAGGGACGAGGAAAAGAGCATGAGGGGACCTGGGTGAAGTCAGCAGGGGTCGGATCATCGGGGATGAAGTCACGAGTGCAAAATCCCTGAGGTGGGCATGGGCTTGGTGTCCGAGGGATCGTGAGGTCAGTGTGGCTGGAGGTAATGAGGGACGAGGAAAAGAGCATGAGGGGACCTGGGTGAAGTCAGCAGGGGTCGGATCACGCTGGGCCCTATAAACCACATTAAGGAGTTTAATTCTTTTCTGAAAGCAGTGAGATGTTATACATCAGCACTTTTCAACTAGAACGTAATAGGAGGCATGTATGTAATTTAAAATTTTCCAATAGCCACATTAACAAAAAAAAAAAGAAAAGAAAAAAGAAACAGGTAACATATTTATAATATATTTTATTTAACCCAATATAACCAAAGTGTTGTCATTTCTATCTGTGGTTGATATAAAAAATTATTAAAATATTTAACTTTTTGGGGCCGGCCCAGTGGTGCACTGCTACAGTGCG